ACTTTATTAATATTAATAACATTTATAACTTAACTTTATCATAAAAGCAATAAAGAGGATAAATCTAGATTATTTCGACATTATTCCTATATATTCTGTGAGTTACAGAATTAGAGGAATAATTTCGAAATAATCTCCTTTATTGTTTTATCTCCTTTATTGCTCTTATAATAATTAAGTTATTTAATTATAAAATATTTTGTTCAAAATATATATAATAGCCTTCAGCTTTGAAGCATTGCATCAATGAGAGGACGAGTAGCTATTTGACATTGTGTCTCTAATTTCTTCGTACGCTTGTATTATACTCCGTTTTAATAAATAAAGGTCAATTAACGAGTACTTTATGCTTCAAAATAAACAAGACTAAAAGTTATTTTGATATTCATTCCTTTAATGTCCTATAATTTAAGAAGTTAATATTTGTTAAACAAAGCGTTTGTGAAACGCTATTTCTTAAACAAATTTCTAGAAGAAAATTTTATTTATTTTAAGACCCTAAATTCATATTTCAAATTTGGCGATTTAACCCAAGAACGTCTTGTACATTAATAATTGTGGTGGAAAATAAATATTGAGTAAGATTTCCTGGTCGATTTTTGTCTGACGTAACAAATGGTGTATGGCAACAATTTACGGAAGCATTCATCAATTCCAGAAAAGCGTCTACCCTCTCGTCAAACAACAAGATGCTGATATCTTCCGAATCGATTTTACATTCCGTGATTTCGCTTTAGCTACGTATAAAGGGAGCTGTGTGTATTCCGCGTATTTATGAAACTACAAGCGATACATGCGTGTCTACACATGCTGAAGTCTGTTCCCTTCGAATTCACGTAAAGGTAATATGAGGAATGGTCGAATTATGCGACATATTGCACGGTTCGAATCCGCCCTCACGCACATAGTCGGATATTCGGGAAGAAAAAGCGGTGTTTATAAGCAAGGGAATTTGTTTCGACTGACTGATTGCGCATTGCTTTGTGCTACAAAGGTGGATCCTGTTATTGGATATTGAAAAGTTCAATTCGAAACGCGATCAACCACCAAAAAATATTCGCCAACGTATGCATTTAATTCAATTGGGAAGCAATTTATTTAATTCCAATTTTTATTATTATCTTAAGAGTTCAATAATTTCCTCGTATAAAGAGCTAACCAGGTCATTATGGCTGTATTGTTGATGGGATTTCGAGTGAGATCGATCATGCTCTGCGTAAAGCTGGAAATATGCTCGAATCAATCACAAAGCCAGTCGCGAGATTAAGCTGCACAACGACCGTTAGTCTCCTTTATTGATCAGGAATGCTTTACTGCTCGCTAAAATTCGCTGCACGACCTTTTGGGGTGATTGGAGATTAGGAGGCTAATGTGCGGATAGCTCTAGCAATGTGGAGGATATACGAAAGATAAATCAGCAGTTTCGGGAACTATTACAGCACAGCAGGTATCGAAACCGTATAATTAATCGAAAAATGCTGAAGGTATTAATATTAATAACATAGGGTAAAATGGGCTTTTTCGTCTATTTCTCGATAACGTTTATGTTTCTGAACAGCACATGTTAATTATTTAAAGATTGTGCTTGTATTCTCAAAGAGCAATCATGATTGTATAATGTAATTGTATAAAGCACATCACTGCAAAGAGATATTATTTGCAATCGTAAATTATTACTTTAAAGTTGAAACTGATGGAATAATCCCGCCCTACTTTATTATTAACATATTTATAATTTTATAATTTATGTATTGCATATAAAATGTATGTAACATTAATGTATATCCTCGAAATAGAAACGTGAGCCAAAAAGTGAATACAAAAACTGTAAGATATTCCATTGGCCCTGACATTTAGCCCTCCTTTGCCCAGATGATGATAATGCTTTTAATCAACGTAACGAGCTATCTCAAACTTGACGTCAAAGTTGGCTGCATAAATAATCATGTCGCATGAATAGGGCGACCATACGCAAAACCATTTACGACGCGATGGACGAAATCACGCGAATATCGCGAGCGGAGATTTTCCAGAAAAATTTGATGGCGCAATATCGCTACGAAAAAGGCAATAAGAGTAAATTGACGTCTTGGAAAGGAGGCTCGGGGTGCTCGAATACCAAGCTGCCGTTGCCGGCTTATTTCGTCCCGTTTCTCGGTACCGTGTCTGTACTCCAGAATACTTTCCTCTCTCCCTTTCTCGGTACGTTAGAGGGTGAATTGAGTGGCGCAAGGAAAATTATTAAACAGTTCCTTTAGATCTTTCCGAGGCTCGCGAGTGCATTAATTTATGAAGATATGAGAAATAAACTAAAAAAGAATGGCTAAAAAATATTATTACAGTATCCTCCATGAGTTTAGAAACACATTATAAAAATATGCTCTCGAGAAAAATTTTTGCTTATCATAATATGTGCCCCTTCGAATCCAACAATTTTTTTCTTTGATATTTTCTCGTATCATTAAAAATAATGAAGATATTTTAAATGATCAAGTTAGAGGAAACACCCTGTATAATAACATGATATTAAAATATGGAATTTTAATTAAAATGTGATTCATACGAAATCTAATTCTTCGCGGAGCCATTTTACAATTTTTACAGAGTCTGAAATCAACTTGCGATCAACTCTTTCTCAAATAGTTTATCATTTTTATAGAAACCGTTATACTACAATTAAATGACCTGTGATGTGTATATACAACGTTGTATATAAACAAGTGACAATAAACCAAAGCGTGAAATTCAACTTTAAGCACTCAATGCTGTGAAATAATTATCCGTCATCTTTTTGGCATGTACAAGCTTATAGATTAGGCGTATCCAATTGGAGCTTCGGAGCCCAAACGCCATCGAGGCTAAAAAAAAATCAATATGGATAAGATTTCGGAGACTGTAAAGTGTTAATACGAGCGACGCTTATTAATACTTTACAGTCCATGAAATTTTAATCATATTGAATTTTTTGGCGTCGATAGCTTTGAGATATCCAAGGAAACTTGTTATAAATGTTCTAGATAAAAATGTTTATCGTTATTTAGACATCATATGATGTATTTATCAAAAACATGTACACTGAGAAAAAAATATAGTCAATTTTAATAAATATTTAATTTAATAAATATTAAATATTTTTCAATATTGCCAACTAAACATTTACTTATTGTACAATAAATGAATATTTGTTAAGTAAAAAAAAGATTATTAAATCAAATTTATATTTCTTGTATCAACTAAATATATCTTTATATTTAATAAATATTTAGTTGACAGTATTCAACTAAATATTTATTAAAATTGACTATATTTTTTTTCAGTGTAGATCGCTATTAAGTAATTGTTTACCAGTAAAACGTAGGGTATTTCCAAACTTATGGAAGGTATTGTACCTATTCAACAATCTCTATCAACAATTCTTTAAAAGACAAAGTGTTTACGTAAGAGCTTGTAAATTTTAAAAAACTTGTAAATCGTAACAGAACGTTGAATGTTGCATTGAATTGGGGTTCCTCGTAGTCAGCACGCCGTCACTGTTGCCCAACGCGTGTTTCCATCTCGCAGATTTACATAAGTGACTTATGGTCAGCGAGTATTACCCTCGTGGTAGGGTCGTTCAGTCGTATCTTTGATGCGTCGTACGCGCAGGGATTTAAATGAGGGACGGTCGTTAAGGGAACCGGTGTGAAATATCACGCGAAAGTATCTGCTTTCGTTATTCGCGGATATTCACGCGTGATGTTTACAAAAGACCAAGCGATCCGATTCTTCCTGTTTTTCCAACAACTTCTCATTTCTCATCGTTAAATATAATTTGCAATTATATTTACGATTTTAAAATTTTATGATCCAGGCTTATCCAGGCTTTTTTATTCTCGTCTATCAAAATCGCGATTTGACTAACAAGATGATATAATCCAATGAAGCAATTAAAAATTCATCATCTGCAACATCATTGTAACTAAATATATACCTCCGCCGGTGATAATGATCGAATTTCGACATTACGTTAACCGTTCGATTAATTAACTCGACAATACTTCCCTAATAGAGTGGTTGCGGCATTCGATTAGCCATCGAAATTATATTCATTAAATCGAGAAAATCCATTTCCGTACAACTAGATATCTCTTCCGTACTTGCTGAATATCCCATCGTTTGCAAGCTATATTACTGTCGCGCAGATAACGCTTCCAGGTTCATCGTATCCAAGATTAAATAACGCGAGGCCAGCAGAAATTTTCACAGTGATATATAACGATGTGACACGTGATCGCAGATTTAATTTAGAGATTGTACATCGCCAAAGCGAACGTAATACGATACGTGACATGAGTGCGTATATGTGCGGCGCAATCATAATTACGTTTGCGCGTGTTGCCAATTTTTCATATATAATTAGCTGTCATCAATTAACGCTTACATGATGCTATTCTATCATGCGTTGACTCGTCTGGCAGAGAAGTGCGATATTTTTTTTAGTCGTACACATATGAGATCTCGGATTTTTCTGCATTTTTTATTTTATCCATGGAGTCAGCAAATAATTCAAAGCCGATTTTTTTCCGAAATCCTCTCTCCAACGAGAATTTATAAGAGAAAAATATCAATTCTGATTTGATCGAGGAATTCGTGCGCGAAGAGAAATCGCGAGATATCTCTGCGACGCTCTGCAATATCACAGAGACATATGAATAATCGTTAATTAATTCCAAGCACGGCGCGTGCAAAACGACCCGTCGGCGAAAAAACACGCCCGCCTTATATTCTCAATTTTTTATCTGCATATGTAACGAGCATAATAAATACCAGTGGCGGTTACCATTTGGTGACGCGAAGCGCATAGCAACGAGAGCAAGCATTTTTTTTCCTCTCCAGCCTTATAGTCCCGCCCGAGCGCGAGCGTTTTATCTGGCGTAGCAAAACGTGGAAGCAGTTCTCTATCATGAGCGGAACGTTTTATCAGATAAAGTCGCGCTATCGGTCTCGGCAGATAAGGGAACGGTGACAGGCTGACGATGACACACGGTGCCCGTGCTTTTGGAAGTGTACGTGTCGCTCTGGATATTTTTTTTCCCCGTTTCCTATCGCGCGTGTAATTCTTGCCTCTGTTTTCCATCTCGTGTGGAGAATAACTAAATAAAGTAAGTGGTATCGTTAATAAAAATTCAACGGTCTAAAAAAAAGTCGTCGAATTGCATAATAAATATTGGCATATGGTATGAAAATATGGTATGAAAATATGTACGATAATAATAACTAAAAAGAGTTGAATGATCTCTCTATAATTTTTAAGATTCGCTTTACGATTAAATATTTGAAATAAACTTTTATAAAAGTCGTCGATCATTCGTGTGAGTGGATATCAGTTATTATCGGAGAATCGGTAACGTTTTTCTCGTGAGCGTTATCAGGTACAAAATTCAAAGCGCACTTGATTAAATAATCACAGGTCATATCTCTGAACGAGCACACTAGCGCCGCGCATTCGTCCTAATCCTGTTTGCACTTTAGCCGTAACCCTCGTTCGCCTCTCTTAAGTCCTCCATTATTCTATATTGAATTGCACATAAATCTTCATAGCAAAAGAGCAACTTGGCTTGCGCTTCTACGCGAGTGAAAGGGCACAGAGTAATTTCTCTTCATCTTCTCGCGGTAGGAGCAGAGCGAGCGGCCGGTTTTTCTTTGGCTTTGCTTGTACTCAGTTGAGAAGTAGATTCGTCTCAATCTCGGTCCGAAAGACCGATAAGAAGGACAACCGAAGGACTATAGCACTAAATAACCGCCTCCTCGATAGGTCATGGATACTCTGTATCCGAATCTCTACGAGCGCTTCAAGACCGAAGGCCTCTGTCCCATTTGCTTCATGGAGATGGAACTGATGCCCAGATACTCGTGCATTAACGGGCACACCGTATGCCATCGTTGCAAGCCTTATTATTACAATTGCTTCACGTGCGCAGCACCGTTGGATATGGAGATCCTGTCGTCACAGAAGGACACATCCCAGCCATCGCGTCGTTATGACGATTATAATCCTAGCGCGCCGTCGATGAACGATTTTCTGGACTATGAAAGGAGAGTTTGGGAACCGTTCGTGCCTTCTGAAAATCAGCATCTCGAACCCTGCTCGTATTCTTATCTAGGATGCTGGGTGAAAATACCAGAGCATCTACGAGCGCTTCATGAGTCGAGGTAAAAACAAAAGCTTTATTCTTGTCGTCATTATCAATTTGTAATCTTCAATTGTTAATCGCATTTTGCATGAATTGCATCCATTTTTAGAGCTTTATAGATAGTAACAAAAGTAGCGCAAACGCCCCTTTAACTTAATCTAGATTAGAAATCAACCATTTTAAGGAATCACTGAATGCTCATTGAATGATAAATTAGATCTAAAATGATGATTGAAAAGAGAAGAGTCAATAGCAAAATGTGATTATCAGTAATTGCACATTCATGATATCTTATACATTGTTGCAAAATTGCAATCTGTTTCCCTATAGAGTTTTTTTTTTTTAGAACATATAAAAAGAAGAGCATAAAAAATCACAGCATCAGATGTAACTCTGCGTTTTAAGAATACTGTTATTGAATTACTGAAGATGGCCAGATTGTGGCCGAAACGTTTAATGTTTTAATTAATGTAATAATAATTAAATATCACAAACTATAACTTGTGCTATGGTTTTTTATGCTCTTCTTTTTATATGTTTTAAAATTATAACCACGTTAGTTTTCAAGATATATTTTTTTTTAGGTTCTCTCGGAATCCGGTCGGATATCCGATTCGAAGAAATTGCCTTCTCGGATATCCGATATCCAGTAACCGATAATTTTACGATCCGGTGCTTCCCTAATGAGAACAATTAACTTTGAATTTTATCTCATGAATAAAGAAACAAAAAGTAAAGATAATTTGTAAAAATCAAATATTTTAGATAAAGATATCATTAAAGATATTTATTAAATATGGGTTACATTTTCAAATATAAATTCTTAAAGATTTTTAAAAATATATCTAAAAAATGAAAATGTTAAAACTGTTACGTAAAATGTTACGAAACTGTTACGTAAAATGTTATTATTTTAATATATTGCCTAAAATGAAAAATTATAATTTTATATTTTCGGCTATGAGCAGACACAGAGGGTCGCAAAAAATTAATTAGCGAGCTACAGGTTATGCATCATTATTCTAACATAACGCAGGTGTAATATATTATAATCATAACTTTCTCTAATACAACACACGAGTCACAGTACAGTTATATATTGTTGGACAAGAAATTGTAACTAGCAATTAATTATGGTTCTGTTAGTTGGGTTTGCTGGGTTAATGCTGAGATATTAAAATCATAATTTCAGGTGCCAGTTTCGACCGTACTTGGAGGAGAAACACATGCCAACCGATCTTCATCATGGCCATGACGATTTAGTAGAATGTTCGTACTCTGCAGCAGGATGCAGGATACGAACAGTGCCGTGGAGACGCAGCATTCATGAGCAGTATTGCATCTATAAGACCAAGGACATGTTTCAAATCGTGAACGATATGAGCAATGATTTCGCGTCTGCGACAATCGCCGATAACAATTACAGCGGCGATCCCGAAGAATTGGTGCAATGCAAGTTTAAGCAGTATGGTTGCATGGTGAATATTCCGAGGAGACGAAAATACATACACGAACAGAAATGCAATTATAAGAGCTATGAAGGAAACGTATTTCAAAATATGAACGATATAAGCGACGGTTTCGCATCCTCGACAATCGCCGATAATAATTATGGCGGCGATCCCGAAGAATTGGTGCAATGCAAGTTTAAGCAGTATGGTTGCATGGTGAATTTAATTTAATAAATATTAAATATTTTTCAATATTGCCAACTAAACATTTACTTATTGTACAATAAATGAATATTTGTTAAGTAAAAAAAAGATTATTAAATCAAATTTATATTTCTTGTATCAACTAAATATATCTTTATATTTAATAAATATTTAGTTGACAGTATTCAACTAAATATTTATTAAAATTGACTATATTTTTTTCAGTGTAGATCGCTATTAAGTAATTGTTTACCAGTAAAACGTAGGGTATTTCCAAACTTATGGAAGGTATTGTACCTATTCAACAATCTCTATCAACAATTCTTTAAAAGACAAAGTGTTTACGTAAGAGCTTGTAAATTTTAAAAAACTTGTAAATCGTAACAGAACGTTGAATGTTGCATTGAATTGGGGTTCCTCGTAGTCAGCACGCCGTCACTGTTGCCCAACGCGTGTTTCCATCTCGCAGATTTACATAAGTGACTTATGGTCAGCGAGTATTACCCTCGTGGTAGGGTCGTTCAGTCGTATCTTTGATGCGTCGTACGCGCAGGGATTTAAATGAGGGACGGTCGTTAAGGGAACCGGTGTGAAATATCACGCGAAAGTATCTGCTTTCGTTATTCGCGGATATTCACGCGTGATGTTTACAAAAGACCAAGCGATCCGATTCTTCCTGTTTTTCCAACAACTTCTCATTTCTCATCGTTAAATATAATTTGCAATTATATTTACGATTTTAAAATTTTATGATCCAGGCTTATCCAGGCTTTTTTATTCTCGTCTATCAAAATCGCGATTTGACTAACAAGATGATATAATCCAATGAAGCAATTAAAAATTCATCATCTGCAACATCATTGTAACTAAATATATACCTCCGCCGGTGATAATGATCGAATTTCGACATTACGTTAACCGTTCGATTAATTAACTCGACAATACTTCCCTAATAGAGTGGTTGCGGCATTCGATTAGCCATCGAAATTATATTCATTAAATCGAGAAAATCCATTTCCGTACAACTAGATATCTCTTCCGTACTTGCTGAATATCCCATCGTTTGCAAGCTATATTACTGTCGCGCAGATAACGCTTCCAGGTTCATCGTATCCAAGATTAAATAACGCGAGGCCAGCAGAAATTTTCACAGTGATATATAACGATGTGACACGTGATCGCAGATTTAATTTAGAGATTGTACATCGCCAAAGCGAACGTAATACGATACGTGACATGAGTGCGTATATGTGCGGCGCAATCATAATTACGTTTGCGCGTGTTGCCAATTTTTCATATATAATTAGCTGTCATCAATTAACGCTTACATGATGCTATTCTATCATGCGTTGACTCGTCTGGCAGAGAAGTGCGATATTTTTTTTAGTCGTACACATATGAGATCTCGGATTTTTCTGCATTTTTTATTTTATCCATGGAGTCAGCAAATAATTCAAAGCCGATTTTTTTCCGAAATCCTCTCTCCAACGAGAATTTATAAGAGAAAAATATCAATTCTGATTTGATCGAGGAATTCGTGCGCGAAGAGAAATCGCGAGATATCTCTGCGACGCTCTGCAATATCACAGAGACATATGAATAATCGTTAATTAATTCCAAGCACGGCGCGTGCAAAACGACCCGTCGGCGAAAAAACACGCCCGCCTTATATTCTCAATTTTTTATCTGCATATGTAACGAGCATAATAAATACCAGTGGCGGTTACCATTTGGTGACGCGAAGCGCATAGCAACGAGAGCAAGCATTTTTTTTCCTCTCCAGCCTTATAGTCCCGCCCGAGCGCGAGCGTTTTATCTGGCGTAGCAAAACGTGGAAGCAGTTCTCTATCATGAGCGGAACGTTTTATCAGATAAAGTCGCGCTATCGGTCTCGGCAGATAAGGGAACGGTGACAGGCTGACGATGACACACGGTGCCCGTGCTTTTGGAAGTGTACGTGTCGCTCTGGATATTTTTTTTCCCCGTTTCCTATCGCGCGTGTAATTCTTGCCTCTGTTTTCCATCTCGTGTGGAGAATAACTAAATAAAGTAAGTGGTATCGTTAATAAAAATTCAACGGTCTAAAAAAAAGTCGTCGAATTGCATAATAAATATTGGCATATGGTATGAAAATATGGTATGAAAATATGTACGATAATAATAACTAAAAAGAGTTGAATGATCTCTCTATAATTTTTAAGATTCGCTTTACGATTAAATATTTGAAATAAACTTTTATAAAAGTCGTCGATCATTCGTGTGAGTGGATATCAGTTATTATCGGAGAATCGGTAACGTTTTTCTCGTGAGCGTTATCAGGTACAAAATTCAAAGCGCACTTGATTAAATAATCACAGGTCATATCTCTGAACGAGCACACTAGCGCCGCGCATTCGTCCTAATCCTGTTTGCACTTTAGCCGTAACCCTCGTTCGCCTCTCTTAAGTCCTCCATTATTCTATATTGAATTGCACATAAATCTTCATAGCAAAAGAGCAACTTGGCTTGCGCTTCTACGCGAGTGAAAGGGCACAGAGTAATTTCTCTTCATCTTCTCGCGGTAGGAGCAGAGCGAGCGGCCGGTTTTTCTTTGGCTTTGCTTGTACTCAGTTGAGAAGTAGATTCGTCTCAATCTCGGTCCGAAAGACCGATAAGAAGGACAACCGAAGGACTATAGCACTAAATAACCGCCTCCTCGATAGGTCATGGATACTCTGTATCCGAATCTCTACGAGCGCTTCAAGACCGAAGGCCTCTGTCCCATTTGCTTCATGGAGATGGAACTGATGCCCAGATACTCGTGCATTAACGGGCACACCGTATGCCATCGTTGCAAGCCTTATTATTACAATTGCTTCACGTGCGCAGCACCGTTGGATATGGAGATCCTGTCGTCACAGAAGGACACATCCCAGCCATCGCGTCGTTATGACGATTATAATCCTAGCGCGCCGTCGATGAACGATTTTCTGGACTATGAAAGGAGAGTTTGGGAACCGTTCGTGCCTTCTGAAAATCAGCATCTCGAACCCTGCTCGTATTCTTATCTAGGATGCTGGGTGAAAATACCAGAGCATCTACGAGCGCTTCATGAGTCGAGGTAAAAACAAAAGCTTTATTCTTGTCGTCATTATCAATTTGTAATCTTCAATTGTTAATCGCATTTTGCATGAATTGCATCCATTTTTAGAGCTTTATAGATAGTAACAAAAGTAGCGCAAACGCCCCTTTAACTTAATCTAGATTAGAAATCAACCATTTTAAGGAATCACTGAATGCTCATTGAATGATAAATTAGATCTAAAATGATGATTGAAAAGAGAAGAGTCAATAGCAAAATGTGATTATCAGTAATTGCACATTCATGATATCTTATACATTGTTGCAAAATTGCAATCTGTTTCCCTATAGAGTTTTTTTTTTTTAGAACATATAAAAAGAAGAGCATAAAAAATCACAGCATCAGATGTAACTCTGCGTTTTAAGAATACTGTTATTGAATTACTGAAGATGGCCAGATTGTGGCCGAAACGTTTAATGTTTTAATTAATGTAATAATAATTAAATATCACAAACTATAACTTGTGCTATGGTTTTTTATGCTCTTCTTTTTATATGTTTTAAAATTATAACCACGTTAGTTTTCAAGATATATTTTTTTTTAGGTTCTCTCGGAATCCGGTCGGATATCCGATTCGAAGAAATTGCCTTCTCGGATATCCGATATCCAGTAACCGATAATTTTACGATCCGGTGCTTCCCTAATGAGAACAATTAACTTTGAATTTTATCTCATGAATAAAGAAACAAAAAGTAAAGATAATTTGTAAAAATCAAATATTTTAGATAAAGATATCATTAAAGATATTTATTAAATATGGGTTACATTTTCAAATATAAATTCTTAAAGATTTTTAAAAATATATCTAAAAAATGAAAATGTTAAAACTGTTACGTAAAATGTTACGAAACTGTTACGTAAAATGTTATTATTTTAATATATTGCCTAAAATGAAAAATTATAATTTTATATTTTCGGCTATGAGCAGACACAGAGGGTCGCAAAAAATTAATTAGCGAGCTACAGGTTATGCATCATTATTCTAACATAACGCAGGTGTAATATATTATAATCATAACTTTCTCTAATACAACACACGAGTCACAGTACAGTTATATATTGTTGGACAAGAAATTGTAACTAGCAATTAATTATGGTTCTGTTAGTTGGGTTTGCTGGGTTAATGCTGAGATATTAAAATCATAATTTCAGGTGCCAGTTTCGACCGTACTTGGAGGAGAAACACATGCCAACCGATCTTCATCATGGCCATGACGATTTAGTAGAATGTTCGTACTCTGCAGCAGGATGCAGGATACGAACAGTGCCGTGGAGACGCAGCATTCATGAGCAGTATTGCATCTATAAGACCAAGGACATGTTTCAAATCGTGAACGATATGAGCAATGATTTCGCGTCTGCGACAATCGCCGATAACAATTACAGCGGCGATCCCGAAGAATTGGTGCAATGCAAGTTTAAGCAGTATGGTTGCATGGTGAATATTCCGAGGAGACGAAAATACATACACGAGCAGAAATGCAATTATAAGAGCTATGAAGGAAACGTATTTCAAAATATGAACGATATAAGCGACGGTTTCGCATCCTCGACAATCGCCGATAATAATTATGGCGGCGATCCCGAAGAATTGGTGCAATGCAAGTTTAAGCAGTATGGTTGCATGGTGAATATTCCGAGGAGACGAAAATACATACACGAACAGAAATGCAACTATAAGAGCTATGAAGGAAACGTATTTCAGAATACGAACGATATAAGCGACGGTTTCGCATCCTCGACAATCGCCGATAATAATTATGGCGGCGATCCCGAAGAATTGGTGCAATGCAAGTTTAAGCAGTATGGTTGCATGGTGAATATTCCGAGGAGACGAAAATACATACACGAACAGAAATGCAATTACAAGAACCATCAAGGAAACTTGGACAGATTCGATTATTCCGCGCAACCAGAATTAGATCCTGACGAGCAAGTAGAATGCAGGTGGTCCGAATATGGCTGCCGAGTCAGACCGAAACGTTATCGTAAGCAAGTTCACGAGGATAAATGTAATTACAGGAAAGAATTGCCATGAATGCAGCGTTACATTTAAGCCAATCTTAAGATACTCTCATGAGTACAACTACAATTTTTAGCCTTAATTATACCAAACTAAACTAATGTTAATATTCAGTAAATTAGTGTAATTCTCGCAACATGCTAATGTTTATCAGAGCGAGATTACAAAATATTCTTTTTCTGAATTGTGATTTTGTCTTTTGAGAGATATTGATCAACATGCTCAATCATTCTCAATCTCTGAATCGCATAAGACACAAAGACGTGGAAACTGATTGTTTCCTCTCGTAATTGTTGAATTAAATGGAATGCTAGTTGGAAACGCGTATATTCCTCCCTTCTGTAGCAGAACAAGTAACTGAAGTGTCGATATCAATACAGAACAGAGTCGACAATTCTATTAATAGGTAACAAGCTGCGAGTCGAGCTCGTCAAGATAACAACAATTAGCAAACAACAAAGTGAATCTGATCATCGACGGCGCCGAGATGCGGAGCGATTTTGTAGAACGCATTAACGGCGATTTCCAGGAACTCGCAGGGATAATACAGAAGAGGATTATTTACTCTCTCCGCCACTCTCCGTTCCCGCGCGAGATAGCGAGACTTCCGCCTGTCGTTCCGGGGATCATCTTGAGCATGATCGTCCAGAATGAGGGAGTGATGGCGTGGCTGGGATATCCAACACCTGCAGGCTAATGGTGGGTCTCCCTGTACGCCCACGACCGCATCACCATCGCTCGACGAAACGACACTTACACGTTTATAACATCCCATTTATAACGTCGGCATGGGCAAAGGATGGCGCGCAATTCTGTCTCGATGCGCGATTGTAGATGGTATCCTGATGTCTCGAAGTCAATAAAATATATCAATATCAGAGACAAATTGCGCCATTTTATTTGTAGTCGTTTTATTCGTATAATAGTTAACCTTTCGGTATTATTCTACATATATCATTTTATCACATATTTACCACACTATTATAAAAAGTATTGCATAAAAATAAACATATTGTAACAATTTTTTTTTTCAATTAAAATGCTAAACACAAGAAGTCTCACAATAATAAGAAAATGTAGCTTCATTAATAAAAGTTATAGCATATACAGTAGAGTAAAAGTAAACTCGGATACGCCACATTAAAAGTGGCTTCAAAGAATTAAAGGAAAATTATATTCTTTGTGAAAAATTATTATCAAGTTTAGAAAAAAAATAATTTACGTTAGATTATTATGTATATTTATGGAAAATCATATTGAAAAATCAGCGACACTCTGTAGAAACGCAAAAACGAACATTGAAATCTATTTCTTGCGCCATGAAAATCTGAGACGGTCCCATGGGTACGCCTTCGTTTCTACTAAATAAATATCGAATGGATCGTGTCGCGAAGAAACTCTTGTCCGTATACAATGCTAGCAGTCTGTCATCTCGTTTGGTCAGAACTTTAACGTTCGACACTGCTCCGACGGACAAAGGGATGCAGGGACTATTTTACATGGTAAAGACCAAAAAGGACCTCTGACCAGCGAATGCCTTAAAGAGGATACCACACCAGACCTAGGTTTATAATCGTACAAAAAGGGAATGCCATTTCAAATTACGCTCAGAAACAATCGGGGTGATTCTTATTCAAGACAATGCTTAACCCCACGATAGCTACCCTTTACCTTCTTTAATTGCATTTCGGATTATTCGCTGATTTTTAATTAAACAATTTACAAAGAGATTGCGCACTTTAAAGACGATACTTTATTGTAACTGATTTTGTTTGGAAACATCTGCTACTTCTGATTCATGCACATAAATTTATTTCGCGCGATTGTATATTATAAAAAATTTAAATTTGTTTCATGCGTGTTCGGCTTTGTTTCGTCATTTCTTAGAATGTAAATACTTTCGCGTGCGATCTCATATTTTTTTCATAACAAATAAAAACAATTAAGGAAACATATTAAATTTATAATGAAAAAAGATGTTCGCTTTCTACTTCAATAAATCAGAAAATCGTGACACCGCATTAATATACATATTTGTTATTTCTATGTAAAACAGCGACGCGAAAGGAAAAGTTGATGATGGATAAGGGGCGATTATCAGACGAAAGTTAATGGCCTTTTCTCCTCATTAAAACCTCTCTCGCATAAATTAATAAGCCGATCAGCGTTAGATGATGTAAAATAAGACGGCACCTCGTCACCGTGTATTTAAGAAGCTAGGTGAAATAAATGCAGACACGACAAGTTAAAACCGGCTGCTTCGTGGGATTGAGTGAAGGGATGAAAGGAGAAGATGCGAGTAAATTGCACCCCTGGGGACGAGCCTGACGAGTGGCGCGAAAGACGCAACAAGCCAGAAGTCAGCCAACTTTAATTAAGACAACGTTGCAGACTAGATATAGGCTCGAGAGTTTATATAAGAACTCGGACCTGTAACATTTTTTCAGCTATAAGTTTTTAGGACGTAATATTTAGGAATAAAACGATAGGAATATAACATATTTCGTTATCACTATGTATTCTAAAAATTTATCTTTTAATTTGTTACATAGTTTTATTGTAGTTTGAAATCAAATTTTTCTAAATGAAAAGAAAGAATTAAAAAATTATTGTCTTTCGATTTTTAATATTAAATTTTTGTAATCAATTCTCAGATTGCAAGCCTCTTCAAGAAAAAGAGAAAAAGAGAATCAGGTCGATTTAAAATTTAATAAAGGATAAAATTTTATTACTATATTTGCCACGCTCTTAGCTTAATTTTTAACAAATCTTTTGAACTGCGCAACTTAAAAGCTAATGGTCTCTCAATGTTTTTGTTGAAAAAAATTAACTTCAAATTAATTAAAAAATTTCTAGGTAAATGATGACTCGATAGATCTAAAGTACCTCTTACGTTACAATTAAATATCGGTTTGTTTTGTAATTGTATATTTTTTTAAAAAGCATATTAGGAAGTAAAACCAAAATAGAAATTTGTCTTGTAAAAATTATGTGGTATCAAGAGAGTATCCGATCTCTCTCTCTCTCCTCTCTCTTTCTAGTGAGATGTGTTTCTCTCGAGATGTGTCTCGATCTGCAGCACGGTTGTAGATCATCGCGTGTATGCTCGTAAAACATATCGATAGCGCAGGGGATTTGGAAAGATCGTGTTCCCACGTAAATACCTCACGCCAAAAAATGACGGCGTTCGTATCTTTCGACTGCCGCCTGCGTATCGCATGGCACGCGAGCTCTATAATTCACGTTAGCGTTGCACGTCGACCGCGTGGGAGAGCCGACCGATCGTATCTCAATTTCGTCAGGATATAACTACCGGGACGTCAATGTAACGAACAAATCCGTGTAACCGTTTCTGATCGGAGCATCTGATCGCGCGGCACGTACGCGATTATCATCCAAGCGAGCTCGAGAAATAAAGATTTGCGACGAGTAAACATCCATCAGACGGAAATCCAATGGAAATCGTAACGTATCAAAATACAAGCTCAAGGAAGATTATACGTAACACTGAAAATATCATTCGCTAAGATGTTCTTTAACTCGTTTCTAATTAATACTCTGAAGCTGAAATTTGTAATATAGTTAAGGACGTTGGGTCTGTAAAACTTATTTAAATTATTATGTGTTAATTAAAAGGCAGTAATTTCAGGAAATTACAATGACAAAACTCGTATAAAAAGAATGAATACTAATTGTAAGTATATTTTAATAAAAATAATCTAAATTTATAGATGTAACATAAAGAATATTGTTTGGAATTTTTGACAAAGAGATTGAAGTGAGTCCGATAAATTTATCGTCAGTTTCGAAGAATTAGTAAACTAAATAAAAAAATTGTTACATATTATATTAGGTGTTGGAATTAATTCGTAGCGTTTTACAAGTGATGGGAAGTACTTTCATTAATGTATTTTTTAATGCTCATGTGAAATAAATAACATTCTTTCATTATAAAACGCTACGAATTAATTCCAACACCTAATACTTTTGAAGAGAACATTAAGATAATGGAAGTCAAATGATTTTCCTGTTATAACGATAATTAATCGCTAAACTTACATAGCCGATTTTTTAGAAAATCGGAAAAGCATTGAAATTTTAAACACTACTTGTTACGTACAATTTTTTTCGTTAAAATAATATAAAAGATTATTAAAAAATTGATATTAATATCTACTTCATGATTTGCAAGACAATCTATTCATTCTTGTATACATTAAGATTAATTATCATCAGACGACAACTTTTCAGAAAAGCAATCATTAATAAGTAGAAACGATCACAAGAGAAACTTTCCAGTACTCATCGACTAATAATTAACGCTATGATATTTTATATTTCGGGGCACGTCCGTGGAACAAACGATTTCTGTGTTCGGTGGCGACAAACTTTTTCCCGCAGTATTAAAATTCTTAATACAACCCTTTCGCACTAGAATGGGGATGAATGCGAGAGTACATTCATGACGGTGGAAAGACAGGCCGAAGAGGAAGAGGTACGTCTCGAGGAAAAAGCGAATTTAATGAAACGAGAAAAACCCCGGTGAAGGTGTATTTGTAATGCAAATATCTGACTCTCGGAGGGACGGAAAAATGAAAGCGTCGAAACAGACGGGAACGAAATCGAGCGTCCCATCGTTCTCGCTAATCCGATTTCGAATTCTTCGTCGTTTCGCCCACTCACTCGCTCGAATCACGTTCTTCGACGCTGAGCAATCTTAGCAAAAAAATCCTAATTTTCCTTTCCTTAATTACTTCAGGGATTCGATAAAATCTTAAAAACATCGCAATACAGAAATCGCAATTATCGGCAATTCAACAAAAATTTTAGAAATCGCAATACAGGAATGTTCAATTATCTAAAAATCACACACAGAGAAAAATGTGCAGTATTATAGATATACTAGAATTCTAGTAAACTTTATGGAATTATCAAGTTTATATAAAGATACGTGCTTACTTATATGAAATTTTCTTTACATTTCTGGTAAATGGGATTGTCGTATAATTATTATTCTTACTTTATCGACAAAAATTTTT